ACTAGTAGTAGTAGTAGTATTACTAGTAGAAATAGTATTAGTATTAGTAGTACTAGTCGTAGCGGTAGTAGTAGTAGTAGTAGTAATAGTAGTAGTAGTAGTACTAGTAGCACTAGTAGTAGTAGTAGTAGTGTTAGTAGTATTAGAAACAGTACTAGTAGTACTAGTAGTACTAGTAGTATTAGTATTAGTAGTAGTACTAGTAGTAGTAGTACTAGTAGAACTAGTAGTAGTAGTAGTATTAGTACTAGTAGTAGTAGTAACACTACTAGTAGTAGTAGTAGTACTAGTAGAAATAGTAGTAGTAGTTGCAGTAGTAGTACTAGTAGTAGTAGTAACAGTACTAGTAGTAGTAGTAGTAGTACTAGTAGTATTACTAGTAATAGTAGTACTAGTAGTAGTAGTAGTATTAGTAGTAGTAGTAGTAATACTAGTATTAGTACTAGTAGTAGTAGAAGTAGTACCAGTAGTAGTAATACTAGTAGAAGTAGTATTAATACTAGTAGTGCTAGTCGTAGTGGTAGTAGTAGTAATAATAATAGTAGTAGTAGTAGTACTAGTACCACTAGTAGAAGTAGTAGTAGTACTAGTAGTAGTAGAATCAGTACTAGTAGTAGTATTAGTACTAGTAGTATTAGCATTAGTAGTAGTATTATTAGTAGTAGTACTAGTAGTAGTAGTAGGACAAGTAGTAGTAGTACCAGAAGTAATAGTAGTACCAGAAGTAGTAGTAGTAGTTCTAGTAGTAGTAGTAGTATTAGTATTAGTACTAGTAGTAGTAGTACTAGTAGTAGTAGTATTACTAGTAGTAGTATTAGTAGCACTAGTAGTAGTAGTACTTAAATTAGTACTAGTAGTAGTATTAGTACTAGTATTAGTACTAGTAGTAGTAGTACCAGTAGTAGTAATACTAGTAGGAGTAGTAGTATTAGTACTAGTAGTACTAGTCGTAGTGGTAGTAGTAGTAGTAATACTAGTAGTAGTATTAGTACTAGTATCACTAGTAGTAGTAGTAGTAGTAGTACTAGTAGTAGTAGAATCAGTACTAGTAGTAGTAGTAGTACTAGTAGTATTAGTATTAGTAGTAGTACTAGTAGTAGTGGTAGTATTACTAGTAGTAGTAATAGTAGTAGCACTAGTAGTAGTAGTAATAAAAGTAGTAGTAATATTACTAGTAGTAGTAGTATTAGTATTAGTACTAGTACTAGTAGTAGTAGTAGCACTAGTAGTAGTAGTACTTAAATCAGTATTAGTAGTAGTAGTACTAGTAGTAGTAGTAATACTAGTAGTAGTCGTAGTACTATTAGTGGTACTAGTAGTAGTACTAGTAGTAGTAGTAGTATTAGTAGTACTAGTAGTAGTAGTAAAAGTAGTAGTAGTAGTATTAGTACTAGTATTAGTACTAGTAGTAGTAGTAGTACTAGTAGTAGTAGTAGTAGTATTACTAGTATTAGTAGTAGTAGCACTAGTAGTAGTAGTACTAAAAGTAGTAGTAGTAGTAGTACTAGTATTAGTAGTAGTAGTAGTACTAGTAGTAGTAGTACTAGTACTAGTAGTAATATTAGTAGTAGTGGTAGTAGTATTAGTAGTAGTACTGCTAGTAGTAGTAGTAGTATACTAGTAGTATTAGTAGTAGTAGTACTAGAATTATTAGTGCTAGTCGTAGTATTAGTACCAGTAGTAGTAGTAGTGGTAGTTGCACTAGTAGTGGCAGTAGTAGTACTCGTAGTAGTAGTAGTACTAGTATTAGTACTAGTAGTATTAGTAGTATAAATAGTAGTAGTACTAGAATTAGTAGTAGTAGGAGTACTAGCAGTACTAGTATTAGTGGTTTTAGTAGTAGTACTAGTAGTAGTAGTAGTACTAGTAGTATTAGTTGTAGTACTAGTAGTAGTAGTAGTAGTACTAGTAGTAGTAGTACTAGCATTAGTACTAGTAGTAGTAGTAGTACCAGTACTAGTAATACTAGTACTAGTAGTAGTAGTATTAGTACGAGTAGTACTAGTCCTAGCGGTAGTAGTAGTAGTAATAGTAGTAGTAGTAGTAGTAGTACTAGTAGTAGTATTAACATTACTAGTAGTAGTAGTAGTAGTACTAGTAGAAGTAGTAGTAGTAGTAGTAGTAGTACTAGTAGTAGTATTAACAGTATTAGTAGTAGTAGTAGTACTAGTAGTATTATTAGTAATAGTAGTACTAGTAGTGGTAGTTGTAGTAGTATTAGTAGTAGTAGTAGTATTAGTATTAGTACTATTAGTAGTAGTAGTAGTACTAGTAGTAGTAGTATTACTAGTAGTAGTATTATTATCACTAGTAGTAATAGTACTAAAAGTAGTAGTAGTACTAGTAGTAATAGTAGCATTATTATTACTAGTAGTAATACCATTAGTAGTATTACTAGCAGTACTAGTAGTAGTAGTAGTATTACTAGTAGAAATATTATTAGTATTAGTAGTACTAGTCGTAGAGGTAGTAGTAGTAGTAGTAGTAATAGTAGTAGTAGTAGTACTAGTAGCACTAGTAGTAGTAGTAATAGTGTTAGTAGTATTAGAAACAGTACTAATAGTACTAGTAGTACTAGTAGTATTAGTATTAGTAGTAGTACTAGTAGTAGTAGTAGTACTAGTAGAACTAGTAGTAGTAGTAGTATTAGTACTAGTAGTAGTAGTAACAGTACTAGTAGTAGTAGTAGTACTAGTAGAAATAGTAGTAGTAGTGAGTAGTAGTACTAGTAGTAGTAGTAACAGTACTAGTAGTAGTAGTAGTACTAGTAGTATAACTAGTAATAGTAGTACTATTAGTAGTAGTAGTAGTATTAGTAGTAGTAGTAGTAATACTAGTATTAGTACTAGTAGTAGTAGAAGTAGTACCAGTAGTAGTAATACTAGTAGAAGTAGTATTAATACTAGTAGTGCTAGTCGTAGTGGTAGTAGTAGTAGTAATACTAGTAGTAGTATTAGTACTAGTATCACTAGTAGTAGTAGTAGTAGTACTAGTAGTAGTAGAATCAGTACTAGTAGTAGTAGTAGTACTATTAGTATTAGTATTAGTAGTAGTACTAGTAGTAGTGGTAGTATTACTAGTAGTAGTAATATATGTAGCACTAGTAGTAGTAGTAATAAAAGTAGTAGTAATATTACTAGTAGTAGTAGTAGTATTAGTATTAGTACTAGTACTAGTAGTAGTAGTAGCACTAGTAGTAGTAGTACTTAAATCAGTATTAGTAGTAGTAGTACTAGTAGTAGTAGTAATACTAGTAGTAGTCGTAGTACTATTAGTGGTACTAGTAGTAGTACTAGTAGTAGTAGTAGTATTAGTAGTACTAGTAGTAGTAGTAAAAGTAGTAGTAGTAGTATTAGTACTAGTATTAGTACTAGTAGTAGTAGTAGTACTAGTAGTAGTAGTAGTAGTATTACTAGTATTAGTAGTAGTAGCACTAGTAGTAGTAGTACTAAAAGTAGTAGTAGTAGTAGTACTAGTATTAGTAGTAGTAGTAGTACTAGTAGTAGTAGTACTAGTACTAGTAGTAATATTAGTAGTAGTGGTAGTAGTATTAGTAGTAGTACTGCTAGTAGTAGTAGTAGTAGTACTAGTAGTATTAGTAGTAGTAGTACTAGAATTATTAGTGCTAGTCGTAGTATTAGTACCAGTAGTAGTAGTAGTGATAGTTGCACTAGTAGTGGCAGTAGTAGTACTCGTAGTAGTAGTAGTACTAGTATTAGTACTAGTAGTATTAGTAGTATAAATAGTAGTAGTACTAGAATTAGTAGTAGTAGGAGTACTAGCAGTACTAGTATTAGTGGTTTTAGTAGTAGTACTAGTAGTAGTAGTAGTACTAGTAGTATTAGTTGTAGTACTAGTAGTAGTAGTAGTAGTACTAGTAGTAGTAGTAGTACCAGTACTAGTAATACTAGTACTAGTAGTAGTAGTATTAGTACGAGTAGTACTAGTCCTAGCGGTAGTAGTAGTAGTAATAGTAGTAGTAGTAGTAGTAGTAGTACTAGTAGTAGTATTAACATTACTAGTAGTAGTAGTAGTAGTACTAGTAGAAGTAGTAGTAGTAGTAGTAGTAGTACTAGTAGTAGTATTAACAGTATTAGTAGTAGTAGTAGTACTAGTAGTATTATTAGTAATAGTAGTACTAGTAATGGTAGTAGTAGTAGTATTAGTAGTAGTAGTATTAGTATTAGTACTATTAGTAGTAGTAGTAGTACTAGTAGTAGTAGTATTACTAGTAGTAGTATTATTATCACTAGTAGTAATAGTACTAAAAGTAGTAGTAGTACTAGTAGTAATAGTAGCATTATTATTACTAGTAGTAATACTATTAGTAGTAGTACTAGCAGTACTAGTAGTAGTAGTAGTATTACTAGTAGAAATAGTATTAGTATTAGTAGTACTAGTCGTAGCGGTAGTAGTAGTAGTAGTAGTAATAGTAGTAGTAGTAGTACTAGTAGCACTAGTAGTAGTAGTAGTAGTGTTAGTAGTATTAGAAACAGTACTAGTAGTACTAGTAGTACTAGTAGTATTAGTATTAGTAGTAGTACTAGTAGTAGTAGTAGTACTAGTAGAACTAGTAGTAGTAGTAGTATTAGTACTAGTAGTAGTAGTAACACTACTAGTAGTAGTAGTAGTACTAGTAGAAATAGTAGTAGTAGTTGCAGTAGTAGTACTAGTAGTAGTAGTAACAGTACTAGTAGTAGTAGTAGTAGTACTAGTAGTATTACTAGTAATAGTAGTACTAGTAGTAGTAGTAGTAGTATTAGTAGTAGTAGTAGTAATACTAGTATTAGTACTAGTAGTAGTAGAAGTAGTACCAGTAGTAGTAATACTAGTAGAAGTAGTATTAATACTAGTAGTGCTAGTCGTAGTGGTAGTAGTAGTAATAATAATAGTAGTAGTAGTAGTACTAGTACCACTAGTAGAAGTAGTAGTAGTACTAGTAGTAGTAGAATCAGTACTAGTAGTAGTATTAGTACTAGTAGTATTAGCATTAGTAGTAGTATTATTAGTAGTAGTACTAGTAGTAGTAGTAGGACAAGTAGTAGTAGTACCAGAAGTAGTAGTAGTACCAGAAGTAGTAGTAGTAGTTCTAGTAGTAGTAGTAGTATTAGTATTAGTACTAGTAGTAGTAGTACTAGTAGTAGTAGTATTACTAGTAGTAGTATTAGTAGCACTAGTAGTAGTAGTACTTAAATTAGTACTAGTAGTAGTAGTAGTACTAGTATTAGTACTAGTAGTAGTAGTACCAGTAGTAGTAATACTAGTAGGAGTAGTAGTATTAGTACTAGTAGTACTAGTCGTAGTGGTAGTAGTAGTAGTAATACTAGTAGTAGTAGTAGTACTAGTAGCACTAGTAGTAGTAGTAGTAGTACTAGTAGTAGTAGAATCAGTACTAGTAGTAGTAGTAGTACTATTAGTATTAGTAGTAGTACTAGTAGTAGTGGTAGTATTACTAGTAGTAGTAATAGTAGTAGCACTAGTAGTAGTAGTAATAAAAGTAGTAGTAATATTACTAGTAGTAGTAGTAGTATTAGTATTAGTACTAGTACTAGTAGTAGTAGTAGCACTAGTAGTAGTAGTACTTAAATCAGTATTAGTAGTAGTAGTACTAGTAGTAGTAGTAATACTAGTAGTAGTCGTAGTACTATTAGTGGTACTAGTAGTAGTACTAGTAGTAGTAGTAGTATTAGTAGTACTAGTAGTAGTAGTAAAAGTAGTAGTAGTAGTATTAGTACTAGTATTAGTACTAGTAGTAGTAGTAGTACTAGTAGTAGTAGTAGTAGTATTACTAGTATTAGTAGTAGTAGCACTAGTAGTAGTAGTACTAAAAGTAGTAGTAGTAGTAGTACTAGTATTAGTAGTAGTAGTAGTACTAGTAGTAGTAGTACTAGTACTAGTAGTAATATTAGTAGTAGTGGTAGTAGTATTAGTAGTAGTACTGCTAGTAGTAGTAGTAGTATACTAGTAGTATTAGTAGTAGTAGTACTAGAATTATTAGTGCTAGTCGTAGTATTAGTACCAGTAGTAGTAGTAGTGGTAGTTGCACTAGTAGTGGCAGTAGTAGTACTCGTAGTAGTAGTAGTACTAGTATTAGTACTAGTAGTATTAGTAGTATAAATAGTAGTAGTACTAGAATTAGTAGTAGTAGGAGTACTAGCAGTACTAGTATTAGTGGTTTTAGTAGTAGTACTAGTAGTAGTAGTAGTACTAGTAGTATTAGTTGTAGTACTAGTAGTAGTAGTAGTAGTACTAGTAGTAGTAGTACTAGCATTAGTACTAGTAGTAGTAGTAGTACCAGTACTAGTAATACTAGTACTAGTAGTAGTAGTATTAGTACGAGTAGTACTAGTCCTAGCGGTAGTAGTAGTAGTAATAGTAGTAGTAGTAGTAGTAGTAGTACTAGTAGTAGTATTAACATTACTAGTAGTAGTAGTAGTAGTACTAGTAGAAGTAGTAGTAGTAGTAGTAGTAGTAATACTAGTAGTAGTATTAACAGTATTAGTAGTAGTAGTAGTACTAGTAGTATTATTAGTAATAGTAGTACTAGTAGTGGTAGTTGTAGTAGTATTAGTAGTAGTAGTAGTATTAGTATTAGTACTATTAGTAGTAGTAGTAGTAGTACTAGTAGTAGTAGTATTACTAGTAGTAGTATTATTATCACTAGTAGTAATAGTACTAAAAGTAGTAGTAGTACTAGTAGTAATAGTAGCATTATTATTACTAGTAGTAATACTATTAGTATTAGTACTAGCAGTACTAGTACTAGTAGTAGTATTACTAGTAGAAATAGTATTAGTATTAGTAGTACTAGTCGTAGCGGTAGTAGTAGTAGTAGTAGTAATAGTAGTAGTAGTAGTACTAGTAGCACTAGTAGTAGTAGTAGTAGTGTTAGTAGTATTAGAAACAGTACTAGTAGTACTAGTAGTACTAGTAGTATTAGTATTAGTAGTAGTACTAGTAGTAGTAGTAGTAGTACTAGTAGAACTAGTAGTAGTAGTAGTATTAGTACTAGTAGTAGTAGTAACACTACTAGTAGTAGTAGTAGTACTAGTAGAAATAGTAATAGTAGTTGCAGTAGTAGTACTAGTAGTAGTAGTAACAGTACTAGTAGTAGTAGTAGTAGTACTAGTAGTATTACTAGTAATAGTAGTACTATTAGTAGTAGTAGTAGTATTAGTAGTAGTAGTAGTAATACTAGTATTAGTACTAGTAGTAGTAGAAGTAGTACCAGTAGTAGTAATACTAGTAGAAGTAGTATTAATACTAGTAGTGCTAGTCGTAGTGGTAGTAGTAGTAATAATAATAGTAGTAGTAGTAGTACTAGTACCACTAGTAGAAGTAGTAGTAGTACTAGTAGTAGTAGAATCAGTACTAGTAGTAGTAGTAGTACTAGTAGTATTAGCATTAGTAGTAGTATTATTAGTAGTAGTACTAGTAGTAGTAGTAGGACAAGTAGTAGTAGTACCAGAAGTAGTAGTAGTACCAGAAGTAGTAGTAGTAGTTCTAGTAGTAGTAGTAGTATTAGTATTAGTACTAGTAGTAGTAGTACTAGTAGTAGTAGTATTACTAGTAGTAGTATTAGTAGCACTAGTAGTAGTAGTACTTAAATTAGTACTAGTAGTAGTATTAGTACTAGTATTAGTACTAGTAGTAGTAGTACCAGTAGTAGTAATACTAGTAAGAGTAGTAGTATTAGTACTAGTAGTACTAGTCGTAGTGGTAGTAGTAATAGTAATACTAGTAGTAGTATTAGTACTAGTATCACTAGTAGTAGTAGTAGTAGTACTAGTAGTAGTAGAATCAGTACTAGTAGTAGTAGTAGTACTATTAGTATTAGTATTAGTAGTAGTACTAGTAGTAGTGGTAGTATTACTAGTAGTAGTAATATATGTAGCACTAGTAGTAGTAGTAATAAAAGTAGTAGTAATATTACTAGTAGTAGTAGTAGTATTAGTATTAGTACTAGTACTAGTAGTAGTAGTAGCACTAGTAGTAGTAGTACTTAAATCAGTATTAGTAGTAGTAGTACTAGTAGTAGTAGTAATACTAGTAGTAGTCGTAGTACTATTAGTGGTACTAGTAGTAGTACTAGTAGTAGTAGTAGTATTAGTAGTACTAGTAGTAGTAGTAAAAGTAGTAGTAGTAGTAGTATTAGTACTAGTATTAGTACTAGTAGTAGTAGTAGTACTAGTAGTAGTAGTAGTAGTATTACTAGTATTAGTAGTAGTAGCACTAGTAGTAGTAGTACTAAAAGTAGTAGTAGTAGTAGTACTAGTATTAGTAGTAGTAGTAGTACTAGTAGTAGTAGTAGTAATAGTACTAGAATTATTAGTGCTAGTCGTAGTATTAGTACCAGTAGTAGTAGTAGTGGTAGTTGCACTAGTAGTGGCAGTAGTAGTACTCGTAGTAGTAGTAGTACTAGTATTAGTACTAGTAGTATTAGTAGTATAAATAGTAGTAGTACTAGAATTAGTAGTAGTAGGAGTACTAGCAGTACTAGTATTAGTGGTTTTAGTAGTAGTACTAGTAATAGTAGTAGTACTAGTAGTATTAGTTGTAGTACTAGTAGTAGAAGTAGTAGTACTAGTAGTAGTAATACTAGTAGTACTAGTAGTAGTAGTAGTATTAGTAGTACTAGTAGTAGTACTAGTAGTAGTAGTACTAGTAGTAGTAGTGCAAGTAGTAGTAGTAGTTGTACTAGTAGTAGTAGTAGTACTAGTAGAATTAGTAGTACTAGTAGAAGTAATAGTAATACTAGTAGTAGCAGTAGTACTAGTAGTAATAGTAGTACTAGTAGAAGTAGTGGTACTATTAGTAGTAGTAGTAGTATTAGTATTACTAGTAGTAATATTAGTAGTAGTATTACTAGCAGTAGTAGTAGTACTAGTAGTAGTGGTAGTATTACTAGTAGTAGTAGTAGTAGCACTAGTAGTAGTAGTAATAATAGTAGTAGTAATATTACTAGTAGTAGTAGTAGTATTAGTATTAGTACTAGTAGTAGTAGTAGTACTAGTAGTAGTAGTATTACTAATAGTAGTAGTAGTAGCACTAGTATTAGTAGTACTTCAATTAGAAGTATTAGTGCTAGTAGTAGTAGTATTAGTAGTACTAGTAGTGGTACTAGTAGTAGTACTAGTAGTAGTAGCAGTACTAGTAGTATTATTAGTAGTAATATTACTAGTTGTAGTAGTACTAGAAATAGTACAAGTAGTAGTAGTACTTGCAATAGTAGTAGTACTAGTAGTATTGGTAATAGTAGTAGTAGTAGCATTACTATTAGTAGTAGTAGTAGCACTAGTAATAGTAGTAATAAAAGTAGTAGAAATAGTACTAGTAGTAGTACTCGTGGTAGTAGTAGTACTAGTAGTAGTAGTAGTATTACTAGTAGAAGTGGTAGTAGCACAAGTAGTAGTAGTACTAAAAGTAGTAGTAGTACTAGTAGTATAATTAATACAAGTAGTAGTAGTAGTACTAGCAGTAGTAGTAGTAGTACTAGAAGTATTATTAGTAGTATTAGTACTACTAGTAGTAGTACAAGTACTAGTAGTAGTAGTATTACTAGTAGTAGTAGTAGTATTACTAGAAGTAGTAGTAGTATTAGTACTAGTAGTAGTAGTAGTACTAGGAGTAGTAGTAGTACTAGTAGTAGTAATAGTACTAGTAGTGTTAATAGTAGTAGTACTAGTAGTAGTAGTACTAGTAATATTAGTAGTACTAGTAGTAGTACTAGTAGTAGTAGTAGTATTAGTAGTACTAGTAGTAGTAGTACAAGCAGTAGTAGTAGTAGTACTAGTAGTACTACTAGTTGTAGTAGTATTAGTACTAGTAGTAGTAGTAATAGTACTAGTAGAACTAGTAGTAGAAGTAGTAGTAGTAATACTAGTAGTAGTAGTAACAGTACTAGTAGTAGTAGTAGTAGTACTAGTAGTATTAGTAGAAGTAGTACTAGTAGTAATAGTAGTAGTAGTACTAGTAGTAGTAGTACTAGCATTAGTACTAGTAGTAGTAGTAGTACCAGTACTAGTAATACTAGTACTAGTAGTAGTAGTATTAGTACGAGTAGTACTAGTCCTAGCGGTAGTAGTAGTAGTAGTAATAGTAGTAGTAGTAGTAGTAATAGTACTAGTAGTAGTATTAACATTACTAGTAGTAGTAGTAGTACTAGTAGAAGTAGCAGTAGTAGTAGTAGTACTAGTAGTAGTATTAACAGTATTAGTAGTAGAAGTAGTACTAGTAGTATTACTAGTAATAGTAGTACTAGTAGTGGTAGTTGTAGTAGTATTAGTAGTAGTAGTAGTATTAGTATTAGTACTATTATTAGTAGTAGTAGTACTAGTAGTAGTAGTATTACTAGTAGTATTATTATTATCACTAGTAGTAATAGTACTAAAAGTAGTAGTAATACTAGTAGTAATAGTAGCATTATTATTACTAGTAGTAATACTATTAGTAGTAGTACTAGCAGTACTAGTAGTAGTAGTAGTATTACTAGTAGTAATAGTAGCATTAGTATTACTAGTAGTAATACTAGTAGTAGTAGTATTAGCAGTACTAGTAGTAGTAGTATTATTACTAGTAGTAGTAGTAGAACTAGTAGTAGTAGTACTAAAAGTAGTAGTGGTAGTACTAGTGGTAGTAGTACTATTAGTAATAGTAGTAGTAATTGTAGTAGTACTAGTAGTACTAGTAGCAGTGGTAGTAATAATAGTAGTACTAGTAGTATTAGTACTAGTAGTAGTAGTAGTACAAAGAGTAGTATTAGTACTAGTAGTAGTAGTAGTACTACGAGTAGTGTTAATAGTAGTAGTACTAGTAGTAGTAGTATTTGCAATAGTAGTAGTACTAGTAGTAGTAGTAGTAGTTGTAGTACTAGTAGTAGTATTATTACTAGAAGTAGTAGTACTAGTATTATTAGTAATACTAGTAGTACTACTAGTAGTAGTAGTAGTGGTAGTAGTAGTATTAGTATTAGTAGTAGTAGTAGTACTAGTAGAACTAGTAGTAGTAATAGTAGTAACAGTACTAGTAGTAGTACTACTAGTAGTATTAGTAGGAGTACTAGTAGTAGTAGTAGTAGTAGTATTAATAGTAGTAGTAGTACTAGTATTAGTACTAGTAGTACTAGTAGTATTACCAGTCGTAGTAATACTAGTAGTAGTATTAGTAGTATTAATACTGGTAGTACTAGTCGTAGTGGTAATAGTAGTAGTAGTACTAGTAGTATTAGTAGTACTAGTAGCACTAGTAGTAGTAGTAGCAGTACTAGTAGTAGTAGAATAAGTACTAGTAGTAGTAGTAGTACTAGTAGTATTAGTATTAGTAGTAATACTAGTAGTAGTAGTACTAGTAGTAGTAGTAGCACTAGTAGTAGTGGTACCAGAAGTAGTAGTAGTAGTACTAGTAGTAGTATTAGTAGTAGTACTAGTAGTAGCATTAGTATTAGTAGTAGTAGTACTAGTAGTATTAGTACAAGTACTAGTAGTAGTAGTATTAGCACTAGTAACACTAGTAGTATTGGTAGTAGTATTAGTAGTACTAGTAGTAGTAGTACTAGTAGTAGTAGTAGCACTAGTAGTAGTAGTACTAGAAGTAGTAGTACTAGTACTAGTAGTAGTAGTACTAGTATTACTATTAGTAGTAGTACTAGTAGTAGTAGTAGTAGTACTAGTAGTAGTAGTAGTACTACTGGAATTAGTAGTACTATTAGTAGTATTATTACTAGTAGTAGTAGTACTAATAGTAGTAGTAGTATTACTAGTAGTAGTAGTAGTATCACTAGTAGTAATAGTACTAAAATAGTAGTAGTACTAGTAGTAATAGTAGCATTAGTATTACTAGTAGTAATAGTAATAGAAGTAGTGGTAGCAGTACTAGTAGTAGTAGTGGTATTATAGTAGTAATAGTAGCATTAGTATTACTAGTAGTAATACTATTAGTAGTAGTACTAGCAGTACTAGTAGTAGTAGTAGTATTACTAGTATTAGTAGTAGCACTAGTAGTAGTAGTATTAAAGTAGTATTAGTAGTACTAGTAGTAGTAGTACTAGTAGTAGTAGTAATAGTACTAGTAGTAGTATGAGTAGTAGTACTAGTAGTAGTAGTAGTAGTAATAGTACTAGTAGTAGTATGAGTAGTATTACTAGTAGTAGTAGTAGTAGTAGTACTAGTAGTATTAGTAGTAGTAGTACTAGAATTATTAGTGCTAGTCGTAGTATTAGTACCAGTAGTAGTAGTAGTGGTAGTTGCATTAGTAGTAGCAGTAGTAGTACTCGTAGCAGTAGTAGTAGTACTAGTATTACTACTAGTAGTATTAGTAGTACCAATAGTAGTAGTACTAGTATTAGTAGTAGTAGGAGTACTAGCAGTACTAGTAGTAGTGGTAGTAGTAGTAGTACTAGTAGTAGTAGTAATAGTACTAGTAGTAGTAGTTGTAGTACTAGTAGTAGAAGTAGTAGTACTAGTAGTAGTAATACTAGTAGTACTAGTAGTAGTAGTAGTATTAGTAGTACTAGTAGTAGTACTAGTAGTAGTAGTACTAGTAGTAGTAGTGCAAGTAGTAGTAGTAGTTGTACTAGTAGTAGTAGTAGTACTAGTAGAATTAGTAGTACTAGTAGAAGTAATAGTAGTACTAGTAGTAATAGTAGTACTAGTAGAAGTAGTGGTAGTATTAGTAGTAGTAGTAGTATTAGTATTACTACTAGTAATAGTAGTATTAGTATTACTAGCAGTAGTAGTAGTAGTACTAGTAGTAGTAGTTGTAGTACTAGTAGTAGAAGTAGTAATACTAGTAGTAGTAATACTAGTAGTACTAGTATTAGTAGTAGTATTAGTAGTACTAGTAGTAGTACTAGTAGTAGTAGTACTAGTAGTAGTAGTGCAAGTAGTATTAGTAGTACTAGTAGTAGTAGTAGTAGTACTAGTAGAATTAGTAGTACTAGTAGAAGTAATAGTAGTACTAGTAGTAGTAGTAGTAGTACTAGTAGTACTAGTAGAAGTAGTGGTAGTATTAGTAGTAGTAGTAGTATTAGTATTACTAGTAGTAATAGTAGTAGTAGTATTACTAGCAGTAGTAGTAGTAGTACTAGTAGTAGTGGTAGTATTACTAGTAGTATTAGTAGTAGCAGTAGTAGTAGTATTAATAATAGTAGTAGTAATATTACTAGTAGTAGTAGTAGTAATAATATTAGTACTAGTAGTACTAGTAGTGGTACTAGTAGTAGTACTACTAGTAGTAGTAGTACTAGTAGTATTATTTGTAGCAATATTACTAGTAGTAGTAGTACTAGAAGTAGTACAAGTAGTAGTAGTACTTGCAATAGTAGTAGTACTAGTAGTATTAGTAATAGTAGTAGTAGTAGTAGTATTACTATTAGTAGTAGTAGCACTAGTAATAGTAGTACTAAAAGTAGTAGTAGTAGTACTAGTAGTAGTACTCGTGGTAGTAGTAGTACTAGTAGTAGTAGTATTACTAGTAGTAGTGGTAGTAGCACAAGTAGTAGTAGTACTAAAAGTAGTAGTAGTACTAGTAGTAGTAGTACAAGTACTAGTAGTAGTAGTACTAGTAGTAGTAGTAGTATTACTAGAAGTAGTAGTAGTATTAGTACTAGTAGTAGTAGTAGTAGTACTAAGAGTAGTAGTAGTACTAGTAGTAGTAGTAGTAGTACTAGTAGTGTTACTAGTAGTAGTACTAGTAGTAGTAGTACTAGTAATATTAGCAGTACTAGTAGTAGTACTAGTAGTAGTAGTAGTATTAGTAGTATTATTAGTAGTAGTACGAGTAGTAGTAGTAGTACTAGTAGTACTACTAGTAGTAGTATTAGTACTAGTAGTAGTAGTAGTAGTACTAGTAGAACTAGTAGTAGAAGTAGTAGTATTAATACTAGTAGTAGTAGTAACAGTACTAGTAGTAGTAGTAGTACTAGTAGTATTAGTAGAAGTAGTACTAGTAGTAGTAGTACTAGTAGTAGTAGTAGTAGGAGTACTAGCATTAGTACTAGTAGTAGTAGTAGTACCAGTACTAGTAATACTAGTAGTAGTAGTAATAGTATTAGTACTAGTAGTACTAGTCGTAGCGGTAGTAGTAGTAGTAGTAATAATAGTAGTAGTAGTATTACTAGTAGTAGTAGTAGTATCACTAGTAGTAATAGTACTAAAATAGTAGTAGTACTAGTAGTAATAGTAGCATTAGTATTACTAGTAGTAATAGTAATAGAAGTAGTGGTAGCAGTACTAGTAGTAGTAGTGGTATTATAGTAGTAATAGTAGCATTAGTATTACTAGTAGTAATACTATTAGTAGTAGTACTAGCAGTACTAGTAGTAGTAGTAGTATTACTAGTATTAGTAGTAGCACTAGTAGTAGTAGTATTAAAGTAGTATTAGTAGTACTAGTAGTAGTAGTACTAGTAGTAGTAGTAATAGTACTAGTAGTAGTATGAGTAGTAGTACTAGTAGTAGTAGTAGTAGTAGTAATAGTACTAGTAGTAGTATGAGTAGTATTACTAGTAGTAGTAGTAGTAGTAGTACTAGTAGTATTAGTAGTAGTAGTACTAGAATTATTAGTGCTAGTCGTAGTATTAGTACCAGTAGTAGTAGTAGTGGTAGTTGCATTAGTAGTAGCAGTAGTAGTACTCGTAGCAGTAGTAGTAGTACTAGTATTAGTACTAGTAGTATTAGTAGTACCAATAGTAGTAGTACTAGTATTAGTAGTAGTAGGAGTACTAGCAGTACTAGTAGTAGTGGTAGTAGTAGTAGTACTAGTAGTAGTAGTAGTAGTACTAGTAGTAGTAGTTGTAGTACTAGTAGTAGAAGTAGTAGTACTAGTAGTAGTAATACTAGTAGTACTAGTAGTAGTAGTAGTATTAGTAGTACTAGTAGTAGTACTAGTAGTAGTAGTACTAGTAGTAGTAGTGCAAGTAGTAGTAGTAGTTGTACTAGTAGTAGTAGTAGTACTAGTAGAATTAGTAGTACTAGTAGTAGTAATAGTAGTACTAGTAGTAATAGTAGTACTAGTAGAAGTAGTGGTAGTATTAGTAGTAGTAGTAGTATTAGTATTACTACTAGTAATAGTAGTATTAGTATTACTAGCAGTAGTAGTAGTAGTACTAGTAGTAGTAGTTGTAGTACTAGTAGTAGAAGTAGTAATACTAGTAGTAGTAATACTAGTAGTACTAGTATTAGTAGTAGTATTAGTAGTACTAGTAGTAGTACTAGTAGTAGTAGTACTAGTAGTAGTAGTGCAAGTAGTATTAGTAGTACTAGTAGTAGTAGTAGTAGTACTAGTAGAATTAGTAGTACTAGTAGAAGTAATAGTAGTACTAATAGTAGTAGTAGTAGTACTAGTAGTACTAGTAGAAGTAGTGGTAGTATTAGTAGTAGTAGTAGTATTAGTATTACTAGTAGTAATAGTAGTAGTAGTATTACTAGCAGTAGTAGTAGTAGTACTAGTAGTAGTGGTAGTATTACTAGTAGTAGTAGTAGTAGCAGTAGTAGTAGTATTAATAATAGTAGTAGTAATATTACTAGTAGTAGTAGTAGTAATAATATTAGTACTAGTAGTACTAGTAGTGGTACTAGTAGTAGTACTACTAGTAGTAGTAGTACTAGTAGTATTATTTGTAGCAATATTACTAGTAGTAGTAGTACTAGAAGTAGTACAAGTAGTAGTAGTACTTGCAATAGTAGTAGTACTAGTAGTATTAGTAATAGTAGTAGTAGTAGTAGTATTACTATTATTAGTAGTAGCACTAGTAATAGTAGTACTAAAAGTAGTAGTAGTAGTACTAGTAGTAGTACTCGTGGTAGTAGTAGTACTAGTAGTAGTAGTATTACTAGTAGTAGTGGTAGTAGCACAAGTAGTAGTAGTACTAAAAGTAGTAGTAGTACTAGTAGTAGTAGTACAAGTACTAGTAGTAGTAGTACTAGTAGTAGTAGTAGTATTACTAGAAGTAGTAGTAGTATTAGTACTAGTAGTAGTAGTAGTAGTACTAAGAGTAGTAGTAGTACTAGTAGTAGTAGTAGTAGTACGAGTAGTGTTACTAGTAGTAGTACTAGTAGTAGTAGTACTAGTAATATTAGCAGTACTAGTAGTAGTACTAGTAGTAGTAGTAGTATTAGTAGTATTATTAGTAGTAGTACGAGTAGTAGTAGTAGTACTAGTAGTACTACTAGTAGTAGTATTAGTACTAGTAGTAGTAGTAGTAGTACTAGTAGAACTAGTAGTAGAAGTAGTAGTATTAATACTAGTAGTAGTAGTAACAGTACTAGTAGTAGTAGTAGTACTATTAGTATTAGTAGAATTAGTACTAGTAGTAGTAGTACTAGTAGTAGTAGTAGTAGGAGTACTAGCATTAGTACTAGTAGTAGTAGTAGTACCAGTACTAGTAATACTAGTAGTAGTAGTAATAGTATTAGTACTAGTAGTACTAGTCGTAGCGGTAGTAGTAGTAGTAGTAATAATAGTAGTAGTAGTACTAGTAGCACTAGTAGTAGTAGTAGTAGTGTTAGTAGTAGTAGAATCAGTACTAGTAGTACTAGTAGTATTAGTATTAGTAGTAATACTAGTAGTAGTAGTACTAGTAGTAGTAGCACTAGTAGTATCAGTACCAGAAGTAGTAGTAGTAGTACTAGTAGTAGTAGTAGTATTAGTAGTAGTACTAGTAGTAGCATTAGTATTAGTACTAGTAGTAGTACTAGTAGTAGTAGTACAAGTAATAGTAGTAGTAGTATTAGTACTAGTAACACTAGTAGTATTGGTAGTAGTAGTAGTAGTACTAGTAGTAGTAGTATTAGTAGTAGTAGTAGCACTAGTAGTAGTAGTACTAGAAGTAGTAGTATTAGTACTAGTAGTAGTAGTACTAGTATTACTATTAGTAGTAGTACTAGTAGTAGTAGTAGTACTAGTAGTAGTAGTAGTACTACTGGAATTAGTAGTACTATTAGTAGTATTATTACTAGTAATAGTAGTACTAATAGTAGTAGTAGTATTACTAGTAGTAGTAGTAGTATCACTAGTAGTAATAGTACTAAAATAGTAGTAGTACTAGTAGTAATAGTAGCATTAGTATTACTAGTAGTAATAGTAATAGAAGTAGTGGTAGCAGTACTAGTAGTAGTAGTGGTATTACTAGTAGTAATAGTAGCATTAGTATTACTAGTAGTAATACTATTAGTAGTAGTACTAGCAGTACTAGTAGTAGTAGTAGTATTACTAGTAGTAGTAGTAGTATTAAAGTAGTAGTAGTAGTACTAGTAGTAGTAGTACTAGTAGTAGTAGTAATAGTACTAGTAGTAGTATGAGTAGTAGTACTAGTAGTAGTAGTAGTAGTCATAGTACTAGTAGTAGTATGAGTAGTATTACTAGTAGTAGTAGTAGTAGTAGTACTAGTAGTATTAGTAGTAGTAGTACTAGAATTATTAGTGCTAGTCGTAGTATTAGTACCAGAAGTAGTAGTAGTGGTAGTTGCATTAGTAGTAGCAGTAGTAGTACTCGTAGTAGTAGTA